TATTTATTCCACTCAATTAATGTGCGATTTATTTATTTTCTAAGTTTTATTTTCTGTTATAAGTTTTATATCGTGATATATATCGTTACCGCCACTCATCATAATGTATATCGTGATATGAATTTTTTGCCATATCGCACATTCCTACTGTACAATGTGTCACACATGGAGTGTATTGCAACATACAAACCTACACATTCAACCATAGTGGAGTGATCATATCCAAAAAGTGATTTGTGATTAATCGCAAAAGTATCTTGAGATTAATCACAAATCAAATTTTTAATCTATGCCCAGCACTAATTAAATTTTTCTTGCAAATTTTTGCCATTTTAATGTAAAGGTTGCAGACAAATAGAAATGTTGGCAGAAAACACAGAACACTCACTGCAGGACCGAGTGCTTCCGTAGGTCATTCATTCCAAGTGCAGTTAGACTGTATAACATCATGATGTTATCAGTCACTTGGACAATTCACCTACACTGCCATCACTAATATGCACCTTCATATACATTCATTTATTTACTGTACTATACGGTATACATGTATATGCATATGTATTTATGTATATGTGCATTGGTATATTTACATTGTCATATATCACGTGTGTATAGTGTGTTCCTTTTGTTTTGTTTTTCTTTTATTTATCTTTGTTCTATCTCACCCTCTTCTTTATTGAGCTGCAGTAATGTGCAAATTTTCCCACTGTGGGATCAATTAAGTTTTATCTTATAACAAAATTTTGCCAAATTTTCTATCTATTCATTTGTTGCCTTTTGACTGGGAATTGTTTTCAAACGTAACTCCATGTTGCACTAAATGAATACTGCTGGCCAGTCAAAAGTTTAACAATATCGTGACTATGAAATTGTCCAATGCACATTTTGCTGAAAATGTTGCTCAAGGTTGAGTCCTGTGGTTAATATGCAATTAACAATCAGAATTTTGAAACAATTACAATTTTACAAGACAGATATTTAATTATAAAACAGTAAATGAGAACAAAGAAATGGAAAAGGGCCCGAATTCTGTCTTAGTCATACCATTGTTAAATCCAGAGCTGCCACCGGCCACAAGGTCTTCAATCATCTCTTTGGCTTTTTGCTGAGCGGCAGAGGACCCAAAGATGACCACTTCCCCTTCATAATCTCCCCTGTTAATCTTCAAAAACAAAATTCACAACATACACCCCAGAAAGAAAATAAACCTCATAATGTACTCCTAACATTTTGAAAGATTCCTTTTGTGACTTTTGACATGCAGTAACTTGCCTTGATTCTTGCACCAGTGCTCTCCTCAAGTTCACGAACTTTGGCTCCCCCTCGACCTTTAAAACAATAAAGCTATTTTAAAGCCTACCTATAGCATGCACAATACCTTAAAAAATATAATAATACTAATTCAAAGTCCTAACAGCACATAAAACTTCTGAGTGGGAACTGCACGAAGCGTTTAATGTGACAAGCTAAGCTAAGCTGATTTAGCAATTAGCTAGCCAAGTCTAGCTAATAGTATGTGTGAGACTGTTAAGAAGTCTTTACACATTTATTTCGGGTTTTAATATAATAAAACATACCTATAACCCTCCCAACTGACGCATTTTCCACTGTCATGGTCACAGGCGCAGAGCAGTCTGAGTTTTCCGTTTCACTCCGTTTATCTTCGCGATCTCTCGGACGTCTCCGACTCCTGAACTCCAACCCCGCGCAGGCGCCGCGGCAGTCACCTTTGCTCTCCCTCGACCCTCCGAATCGTCTTCCACCAAAATCGACATCCCCACCTTTTACACTACCACTCCATGGTAACTTATAGTGAGCTGCGGCTGGCTTAGGCGCAGGCTTGTTCTCGATAGCAACGCCGTCCTTGTCGTACTCATCCTCCCAGTCCGACATTTTTAATTTCGGCACCTGCACTCAACCTTAAGTATTGAGGCGTCACTTCCTGTCTAAACGGTCAAACTTCCGGTTAGATATAATTGTTTTGTAAAACCACAAATTACTTATTAAAGGTTTTATTTTATTTTTTTATAATTTAATTTAAATGAGCCAAACATTTTTGTAATCTTTACAGTGATATGGTTTTCCAGGGTTTTTGTCCACCAAAGGTGCTTGTTGTTTTTGTACACAATAAAGGAGTCAACCAAACAAAACACAGAAACCAAACTGTTTTGTTAATCCTTTATTACTGAAAATTAAAATCACTTTTGCATTTCTCTTTCCGAGAAGATAAATGTGCACTTCAATAAATTAATTTAAAAGAAATAACAATGTTAACATTATCAAGCTTTAAGGCCAGCCGTATAATGAATTACCGTTCAAGCATGTAGACAAATGGTATTACTGGCTATTGCAGTCATAAAGTCTGTGGCTAAAGCTACATGACTTAATGGAACTGGATGCCCTGTTCAAAATGAGTTTGACTTCAATACAGTGTGTCATTGGCTCTAGGCAAACTTTGTAGCAAAACAAAAAGATTTTCATATGCAAAAGGCACCCTTAAGTGATATACAGTTTGAAAATATTAGTTTAATGGAGAGAATGGCCCATTTAATACCCCAAAGAGTAACAATTCAATGAGCTTAATGTTATTCATATGCATTAAAATTCAGTCAATACATACAACAAATCTATTCCAATAATATACACACAAAAGCCTATGATATTATATGTTCAGGCTCCACTCACCAGAAAGCACTGTGCTTTTGTGATGAAAACAAAGTTCATCGTACCAAACCAAAGTCATCTATGCATGGGCTTTTAGGATAAAATTCAAATGTTAAATGTTGTCATTTTTTTAGAAAATAAAATGCAGGAAAATCTTTGTTCTGCAATAGAATGTTAATTTGCTAACCAATGTGCACTCTCCTCAGAGCCTGTAGTGTAATAATTAACACAATAAAATATTTTAAGACTGTTGTGAATTTGTAAAAATGAATCTAAATGACAACTTAAAGATATCACAAATGAAGTTATAAAAGCAATCATATTGTCCCCCAACTAAGAAGGAAATATAAAATAGTGTAATTTAAGGCAAACTAAACTTTTTTAAAGTGTGCCAATTAAAATATAAGTTTTGAAATTGGAGTAATTAAATGAACAAAATTTTAGGAAGTCTGAATAAAATGTGTATTTGAGATTAAGATGAGAGAGTGACTGCTAAATGCTAAAAATGCACAAGGAATAGCATTGCAGATATTCAAATTACTCTCTCGCTTTCATATTTTAAAACATGAATATATTACCATTTTTAGCTTTCCCTCTAATTAAGGAAAAAAAAACATGCATGACAGATCAGGTGTAATATAATTTCCCAAATTAAACATTGTACGTGTTAATGTTAAAACCTAGGCTGGTCCAGCAGATTTTGGTGCAGTAAAATGGAAAACAAAACATCAAATGTATTTTAAATGTTGTAAATTTGACATCAAAGTAGTATGTTCTTGTATCATGTAAGAGGTAATTCAAGTTCAATTATCAAATGAAAACACTGCACCTTCTTGGTATGGCTTGTCGTGTGTGTCCGTCCCATTTTAGTGTGCAGAAAGACATCAAGGCTAATCAACAACTGAGTTGCTACATTTGACTTCAAAGGTTGCAGCAACTTCAGCATGCAGCATCTTATGCTTAGTTGAGAAGGCCCACTTGAATAACTTCCTTTAATTCAGACTATTTTCAATTATTTCATCAGGCCTACTGTGCAAACCCAGCAGGAAGTGGTCCAACATGGACGTGACTGCTGTTATGCAAAGGTTATAAGTGGGTTTCTACATTTATTTTAACCAATACTTTGATGAATGGTTAAACAAAACAAACATAAATACATTAATATTTCTGCAGAAGTGGAAAAATACATAAATAATCGATCTGGGAAGTGATCACATGCTTTTGGTTTGCTGATCATTTTTTCATAGCCTTTCCCATCTCAGCACATCATTTTTTGATTCATTTAGTTTCGGAAACACTCCACGCAGTGATATGTATGATATGCAAGATTTGTTCTCCTTATCATCCAAGAAGACTGAACTCAAGGATTTGTAAAACAAAACTTCATTTGTCAGTCTCAGCTGTTTGTATAGTTTGCTTTTCAAGTACTTTGCAGTTGGGTAAAATGGCGGTATTCGTAAACGTGCGTGAGTGTATAGTTTCCCAACATGTGTGATTTGTATTTGGACTTCAACAAATCTTTTCACTCCTGTACCAGTCAACTTTTCACAAAATGATTGAAAGTGTCTTATTCTGCTTTTTAACATTTTTCTGTGATAAAAAGATTGTATTTCTGCATCTTCTGCAGATGAGTTAAGATTAGGTTCTTTGGCTGGAATTCCAAACTGAGAAAATCAGAGTTTTTCTTTGGGGTAAAAAGACAACTTGAAGTGGTTTTTGTGATGAATATGTTGAAAAAAACATTTTGTTATGGAGTTTATTTTGAAAATCCTCAACCTTTTGTAATACTAATTGCCGAAAGTCAATAGTTTTTTTTCTTTTCCAAACCTTCCTTTTCTCATTATACTCTGTTTTCCTATTTTGTATAACATTAAACAAATTAAAAATTTGTACATTCTTTTATTCTACAAGGTGTAGAAATTTCGGTGTCCCATAAAACCGGACATTACGGTGTAAACAAAATAGAAAACACTGTTTGTACACGTATAAAGAGTAAAACTGATAGCATGATCTTTTAAAAAGCGGTGTCAGCCGCAGCAGTGTGTACATACAGCTTACAGGTTAGTGAGTGTCCTTACACCAGCTGTAAGTGTGAGGATTGACTGAGGAACTCGGAGTTCCCCTTTGGGTGAGGTACAGCCTCCTCTACGGTCTGTAAAATGTTGGATTGGCTGCTGTCGGGTCCCTGGGACAGGTAGTTGTAGTGTTCTGCTCCTGGCTTCAGCTTGCAGTCACTAATGAAGAGGTCTGTTCCGTCCCATTTGCTGAGGTCACTGTGGCCGTTGCCACGTTCGCTATCATTGCTGCTGCTGCTGTTGTTGAGTGTCGAGGAAAGAGTAGAAGCACGGCTGGTTAAAGGCTGGTTGAGATTATGCGCAGAGAGGGATTTCCCAAGATTGCCTCCCCAGTCTGAAGGCGTCTCCTCTTGGCTAGATGAGAGGAGCAGCAAAGGGTTAACTTCTAGGCTCAGATGCCTTCTCCAGACTCCCTCGGATTTCAGGCCAGGCTTCTTCCGCAGTTGCACTTTTCTCTGCACAGAACCTGCCTCACTGTTCTCCTCTGGATCGTCGTCATCATCAGCATCACATCCCACGACGACCGACGGGCCCAGACTTTGCTCATCCCCTCCTGCTTCATCTGTCATATCATCTGAGACTGGGTCAGCTGGGCATTGGAGGTGAGAGGGGTGCATCATGGGAGGAAGCCGAAGAGTGAAGCTCCCTGATGAGGGCGGTGGAGGCGGCAGATCGGGGAAGTTAGCCTTTTTGGAAGGGGTGAGTAAAGTCGGGTAGGGGCTGTCTGGGGGCAGCAGGGGAGAAGGGGAGAGGGATGCGGTGGACGGCGGGTAGGAAGGAGGAGCCGAGTCTGGAGGGACGTCGTCATCAGCCGGCGCCAGTATGAGACGCAGGCCTCTCGGGTTGGCGCAGTGGGAACGGTGCATCCCGCTACTGTTGTCTCCTCGGCCTCGGATCATATCGCTCCCCTGGGGAGAGTTGGGATAGTCCAAGTTGTGGTGCTGGTGGTTTTCCAGCTCAAAAAGAGGCAGGGAGGAGAGGGTGAGCGCTGAGGGGCCTTTCCTTAGGACTTGGCGGTAAACGTCTAGCAAAGAGTCCAACTTTGACTCAATGGAGGTCACCTGAGGACAAGAGAAAACAAAAGGTGAATAAAAGAAAAAAGAAAAGGCTGGACCAGGATTAGGCCCTAGCCTTTTGCTATTTTAGTTACCCTCTGCAACATCTAGGATTTATTTATCATGTCTAGGCTAGATTACTGTAATTCTTTATTATCTGGTTGTCAAAAAAAAAACCCTTTCAAAAGTCTTCAGAATGGGAGGCAGAGCTTTTAGTTCTCAAGCTCCTCTCTTGTGGAACCAGCTTCCAGTTTCTGTCCATGTGACTGACCCTCTGTCTACTTTTAAAACTAAACTTAAAACTTTCATTTTTGACAAATCATAGGCTATAGTTAGTTATTCCTTAGGTCTGATGCTATATGCTTAGGCTGCTGGAGGACTACCTGACCACACTTCTTTACTGCTCCTGTCTTTGCTCTCTTCTCTAATTGTTGTCGGCCCAGGAGATGACAGGGTCAGGAGGAAAGGAGAATGAACGAAGTGGAGAGCTTATTTCTAGTGGCAGAGCAGGTTGGAAGATGGTTATTTGATGTTATTTTTGCCAAATTTTGTTATTGTTTTTTAATTTCCTAAACACTCTCACATGTTAAATAGATTTGAAACTGAGGTTTTGAAAAAAAATCTGTGAAACTTGAAAAAATCAGTGAGATTGGTCTAAACGTCCATATACCTGCAATACAATGGAAAATCTGTGTAAATTACGAACGATCCGTACCACTTGACATGGATGAACTAATGCTGATGTGGCGGCAACAATAACAAAGACTAGGAGAAACACGGAGGAGGACCAGACTGGGCGGGGAAGCCACAATGCCAGACTGCAGCTAAAAGAAAGACTGGGAGGCTAAATGGACTGGGGCTGATAAGACTAGAGGTATCTAGTCATGACAACATGTAACAGGTGCAAGTGGGTGTGGTGGAACACTACAGAAATTGAACATAAAATAAAAACAGATGAGAAAAAAACATGAAAATGAACCTCAAACAGAAAACTAAACTCTGAAGCACATGATTCAGAACTTAGCATTTTCTGAGAAAATGCAACTTCACTAGTCACTTTAAACCACAACCACACATAATAAA